GGCCTCAGCAGCCCCATCTCCCAAAAGAGCCTCACCTCCAAAGGGGGACCTTACTCCCCCAGCTGTGGCTCCTCCCTCCCCCAAAGGGGGCCTAGCAACTCCACCATCTGTGGCTCCACCTTCGCCCAAAAGAGCCTCTTCAGTCCCCAAAGAGTCTCCAGCAACTCCAGGCCCCAAAGGGGCCCCCACTGCATCAGCCGTGATTTCTCCCTCCCCTAAAGAGTCTCTGGCCCCCAAAGAAGCCTCAGCAACTTCATCCCCCAAAAGAGCCCCAGCTACCCCATCCTCCAAAGGGGCCCCTGTTTCCTCAGCTGTGATTCCTCCCTCCCCCAAGAAGGCCCCTACCTCCCCAGTTCCTGTCACATGTCCCTTGGGGTCCACTGCCCCTCAGGCATCTAAAGAGCTCCCAGTAAAGAAAGGCCTCACAGCTCCCAAAGTTCCACCAGCCAAGAAGAGTTCTGCTGTTTCACCTCTTGCATGCCCAGATCCCTCAGTTCAGAATGGTACTAAGGGACCCCTTTCTACAGTGGCTCCAGTCCCTCTCCTAACAGTCTCCACTCAGAAAGTTTCTGCTCCAAAGACTCCAAAACCCCTCCCTATTTCTCCCTTAAAAGGCAAAGATTCTTTTCATTCCCCAAAGGGCCCCTTGGCTTCTGAGTCTGAGACATCTACCCTTTCAGCAACAGATGCCTCTGAGAAGGTCCTTCCTAATAAAGCTGGATCAGCATCTGTCTCTCCAGCACCTACTCCATCAGTCTCTCTGCCTGTTGCTCCCTCCCCAGTTCCCCCTCTGCTTCCTAAACAGCAGTTTCTGCCGTCCTCACCTGGGCTGGTGCTGGAATCACCCCATAAGCTCTCAGCCCCTGCTGATGAGGATGAGCTGCCGCCTCTGATTCCCCCGGAACCAATCTCAGGGCGAGTGCCTTTCCAGCCGGTCCTCGTCAACATGCCCACCCCCAAACCTGCTGGGATCCCTGCCCCAACCCCCTCTGCCAAGCAACCTGTTCTGAAGAACAATAAGGGTATTTGCCTTGGTTTGCCGTGTGCATGGTGTGTTGCCCACAACCCTCCTGGGGGCCACCCACCAATACTAACAGTAGGATGCGCCGCTTTTTCTGGTATATCTGCTTGTGTTTGGACATAGAACATAGAATGGTGAATTTAAAGGCAAAAGCTCTAGGAATGTGAAACAGAATCTTGGTTTTCACCTCAGATAGTCGATTGTATATCCTCTTGTGTAATGTGGTCCAGACTAACCCTGGGTTTGCTGTCATTTTTACCTAACTGATCTGATGTTGAAAACCAAGACCTACTAGACCTTTAATTTGCTCTAATCTCTGTCACGTCACTAACCTTGTCCCTGGGCCTGGGATTTGCTAATCTATTAGGAAATCTGGAACTATCTGAATTTTTCACTTCTTAGACTTAGTAATAACCAGTGCCCAGGGACTCCCTTTTCTTAAAAGACCTATTTTTCCTAACCTGAGAATGGTACAGGTGTTTGCTTTTTCCTTCAGTAGTCTGTTGATGCTTGGCCTTTCAATTGAGGGAAACTTAAAATTTGTGAATTATGTTTGGAAGAAATGGGAGAGGTCACAGGGCAGTACCTAGCAGAAGTGACTTATTAGAACTATAGATTGGCATCACTGAGTAAAACCTTCAACCTATGTTAGACCAAACTGGTCTAAATGGTTTGAAAATGGTTTGAAAATAAGGCTAAATGTGTGTACACAACTGCTTCTGGCCTCACCCAACCCACTTTAAAGGATGAGGGGAAAGTGTATCCTCCCCCAACCTCAGTCTTCCTCCACAATGTGATCTTACTGTTTTTTTCCCTTAAATAGTATTTCTGGAGGCACCTTGTCTGCCAGAACCTTTCTGGGATGATTGGACTGTTGGGTAGAATTTGGGATTATATACATCCTTGGTATTTGCCTGTGCCAAGAAGTGAAGACCTTGAGGGAAAGGAAGCAGTTACAGTATACTAACTGCTTAGCTGTATCTATTAATTCATTACTTCTCAGGTCTGGGGCTGGGTCTTTAATGGATGTGTACACACTAGTTTGTGACTAAATTGGGGGCTGTCAGACTGGCTTCATACAAGTCAGTTGATTTACATTTAATTTTGTGAGGTCCAGCTTAAGCTATTGACCTCTAGTCTGAGCAGGCCATGGTGAGGTGCCTCTTGCTTGTAATCTCTACTCTAAAATAGTAAACGTTATTTGTCATCTTAGGGTCTGGAACAGAATCTGACAGTGATGAATCAGTACCAGAGCTCGAGGAACAGGATTCCACACAGACAACCACACAACAAGCCCAGGTGTGTATTGTGTTATTTACTAGTGTAAATGCTTAGGTCAAGGAAGCGTTGGAAAACCAGTGTTGATCAGAAAAGCTGTCTTAATGTATTTGGAGCTGTGAACCTTCATAAGGGGAAAACCACATGGGGATTGTGGTATCCAGGTCTTACATTCCAGTTTACTTGTAGCTGTTTGATCTTCTTAGCTGGCAGCAGCAGCTGAAATCGATGAAGAACCAGTCAGTAAAGCAAAACAGAGCCGGAGTGAAAAGAAAGCACGGAAGGTAAGAGTTTAAGTTACAAACAAAGATTAAAGGTTATGATGAAGCAACTTTAGAGATGGGGAACTGTTGTGGAACTCTTGGTAGTGGTAGAATCATGTATAGTTAAACTAATAAAAGTTACTATGGCAGAAAACCCAGGAAAATCAATTCCATATTCCTATGTAAACTTTTCTTAGTCCACAAAGTCTTTGCTTAGTATGTAGTATTATTTATTATTAAGTTCCTTACTTTCTGAGGCTGCTTCTAAAGAAGCTGAAAACCTGATGTTCTTGTCTATTCTTTAGGCTATGTCCAAACTGGGTCTTCGACAGGTTACAGGGGTTACTAGAGTCACTATCCGGAAATCTAAGAATATCCTCTTCGTCATCACAAAACCAGATGTCTACAAGAGCCCAGCTTCAGATACCTACATAGTTTTTGGGGAAGCCAAGGTAAGGAGAGTTTTCTTGGGAGTTGCTCTAGACCAGGGTTTCTCAACCTCAGGGCTATTGACTTTTTGGGTCAAATAATTCTTTGTGGTAGAAGGACTGTCCTGTGGATTATAGATGTCTACCAGCAGTATCACATCCAGTTGTGATAGCCAGCAAAATTTCTTAGCATTTGACAGGTGTCCCCTAGGGAACAAAATCACCCCCTAGATGAGAACCACTGCTTTAGACCTAAGCTACTCCTTTGTCTGACAGTGATATATAATCTGAATGAGGCCAGCAATTTAAAGCTAAAATTAAAATTAAAGTTAGTTAATGTGAAGTGGGTTTAGAGTAGGAGTTTGGAAAAGATAAATGATTTCTTTCATTTCCTGCAGATTGATCTACTCACATGAATGTTTTTTCTGCCCTGTAGATCGAGGATTTATCTCAGCAAGCACAGCTAGCAGCTGCTGAGAAATTCAAAGTTCAAGGTGAAGCTGTCTCAAACATTCAAGAAAACACACAGACTCCAACTGTACAAGAGGAGAGTGAAGAGGAAGAGGTATATAAGGAAATCTTTTGTAGTTTTAATACTCTCCAAATAATACTATGTTTGTATTGATGGGTGGATTCTATATTGTTTGAGACTCTTGAACTCCTTTGAGTTAAGTAGCTTTTGGGTAATGTTACGAACTATATTCAAGAGATGCCTGACTTCTAAGAACTACTGAAGTTGTTCTTGCCTTTAATTTATTGTTTTCCCTCCCACTCTTACAGGTTGATGAAACAGGTGTGGAAGTTAAGGACATAGAATTGGTCATGTCACAAGCAAATGTGTCGAGGGCAAAGGCAGTCCGAGCCCTGAAGAACAACAGTAATGATATTGTAAATGCTATTATGGTAAGTGTCTGAGCCTTTATTCCTTGACTCCTTCTGCCCTGACCAGTTATGGGTGACTTTATCTTCTGTGCTCTGTGCTTAGTATCAGCCAATTAGGAAGCCTTATTCCAAAGTATTCTGAGTTGCCTGGGGGTTTTTAGTGCCCTGACTTCTCTCAGTTTTTGCCTGTAATGACCTCTGATGCTCTTTTCTCTTACAGGAATTAACAATGTAACCATCTGAAAAGAGGACTTTTTTTGGTGTTTCAAAAGAGTAACTGCAGCTTGGTTTGAAATTTGTACTGTTTCTATCATTAATAAAGTTATGGCTTCTTGTTGGATGAATTCAGTGGATGCTTGATCTTTTCCCCCTAAAAAAGCATGAAAGCACTAGAAATGAGAACACATTGTTAATTACTCCTAAGACCTCAGCTTCAACTGAAGAGGTTCAGGGCCTCAGAGTCCCCTCTTAAAGCCTGAGCCTTTTCACCTCTTGTAAGAAGGTATTGTTACTAGGCTACCTGTTAGAAACTTCTTGTCTTCAGAGAATAGAGCTTAATCGTAAAGTTTCTTGTTTCCTATTTCTTTCCCAGATGTTAACTGTTAGCAAATCCTGCTTCTTTATTTAATAATTATCCCATTCTCTGACCTGTGATCTTTCTGAATATATATTGAGCCTCATCTGGCCTCTGAGAAGTATTTCACATTGGTTACATCTTGGTATTTAAGAGCTTTGTACAGGTTTAGAGAAGGTGCATGATAAATGTGCATGACACTACTTTGTAAAAAAGAAAAAAGGATACCTCATTAAGGAGAGATTTTTGACTATTGTATACAGTGCAAATGCTCTGCTCTTAGACATATACAAACATTTTAATCTACAAAGTAAATTATGAGTAGGATAGCTATAATTATGCTAGGGTAAGGGAAAACCTGAACTGTACTAGGCAAACTGGTACATACATGTAGCTGCTTCATGATAAATACAGATAGCTCTGTAGAATTCCTAAGAAGAGTAACATTTCTGAGTGTGGGTTGTTAGGAAATGGATTAGTGGGAAGCAGAGGACTGAAATTTGGAAATAGGAAGGCTGCAAGTAAACATAGCAAGAATCCTAAAATGAGGAAGTGATAATACACGTAGAAGAAACGTTAGACTAGGAATAAATTAACATCATGGAAGGCTTTTGGAACTGAAGAAGTTTAAACATTCTCATTCTATTTTCTCCCTCCCTATGAGAGAGTAGGCATTTAAGCAGATGTGATTAAAAGCTGAGAACCAGAGATGTTAAATGACTTCCCCAAAAAGCAACCAAAGAAGACTAGAGCCTTTTTGTTGTGTTAGGCTATCCTGAAGAAGCACAGATTGGCGTCTGGCTGAGAATGATGATCTTCCATTTTACTGGAGTAGAACAGATTAGATCATTAGATGAACAAAAGTCTCAGGCTAAAGGTAGTCCCCTTGGCTGCCAAGTTTGTGTCAGCCAAATAATTCTCATTTCAGGAAGACACTAGGGATATTATATTTTCTTACCCTTCCTCTACCTAGTTAATAAACTGTCAGTTCTTGGTAAACATGTTCAAGGCTATTACTGCCATCAATGCTGTGGTGCTGTTTCTTCCCACCCCAAAGTATTGCTACCCCTTCCACCATGTATTACAGTCATACCTCAGATTTTGTGGGTTCAGTTCCAGACCACAATAAAGCAAATATTGCAATATAGTGAATCATGACACTAGTCTATTGTGCAATAGCATTTGTGTCTTAAAAAAAGTACGTACCTTACCTAAAAAATGTTAACCATCTGAGCCTTCAAGCATGTCATAATTTTTTTTACTGGTGGAGGGTCGTCATGTTAGTGACTACTCGCTGATTGGTGGTTGCTGAAGGTTGAGGTAGCTGTGGCAATTTCTTACAGTAAGGCAAAATTTGCGTCAATTGACCCTTTCACGAACAATTTCTCTGCAGTGCTCCTCATCCATTCAAGTTTTATCATGAGATTGCAGCAGTTCAGTCACATCTTCAGGCTCCACTTCTAATTCTCTTGCTATTTCCACCACATCTGCAGTTATTCCTTCACTGAAATCATGAGAGAGAACAGCTGGTCAGTAAAGCAATCAGAACACAATTTTTTTTTTTCCATCTATCCATTTCTTTCCAAGGTTAACCATGTCACTTGTTCCTCTGTCAGTGGCTTTTGTGCCCTGGTTTTCATCTTAAATCTCTGACCACCCCTGAGAACACATAATATTTATCAAGTTCACTGTCTTATATGAGCATGGTTTGTGGTGACCTAAAACAAAGTAGTACCGTCAAAGGTCACTGATCACAGATGACCATAACAAATGTAATAATGAAAAGTTTCGAAATATTGCAAGAATTACCAAAGTGTGACAGACATGAAGTAAACAAATGCTGTTGGAAAAAGGGCACCGATTTCTTTGACACAGGGTTGCCACAAACCTTCAATTTGTAAAAAATGCAAAATCTGTGAAGTGCAATAAAAGGAGTTATGCCTGTAACTCCTTTCCCTCAATCATTTTTTTCCCACCATACTTGAATTGTACAACTTCCTCTGCCACAGAATGGTTAAATGATTAAATCAAATTAGGGAATGTATGGTTTGAACAAATCTTGAAGAGGAATTACTCCTTCCCAGTTCTCAGGTTGATGAAGTGCCTGTGTTCAGATACTCAATAGGCCATATAACAATGATATCTTAAGTAACCTCTGCCTCCATCTGTAAAAATAGACCTAATATTCCCAAAACACATGTAGAATGGTTATAAGCATTTGATAAGAATTTGTGAAATTGGCACAGGTTATTTACTAAATGACCCCTCCGATTGAAAAGAAAAAACAAAATCCTCCTAATAAGCCAGTTTACTTACTTTGCTATATGCTCACATTTCTACCATTCACTTAAAAGTTGATTTTTTTTAAACTGGGAAGTACTTAAAACATGCAAATGAAAAGCTGTGTGTGCCTTCTATCCAGCTATTTTGTTCTTAAGAAATTATACATTATGGTTGAGAACCCTGTATACTCTTCCTTAGTCCTTTTCCCTCCCTCAAAAGTAACCACTACCATGAACTGACATTTATAATTCCTGTGTGTGCATGAGTTGATATTCTTAATACATAACTTTTACACAAAGAAGTTAATGTTCTGCAAGTTTTAAAATTTTAAATAAAATTGTGCATTACATATCTTCATGCAAACTGCTTTTCACTTCAACTATTTTTCTTTATCTATGGTAATAATGTAAATGAATTCATTCCCTTTCCAGTTCACTGTAATCTACCTTTTACCTCTACTTCTCCACCAGATGGTTCTCATCTAGATCCTAATTTCCAGTGGACACTTCATAGATGACTGCATTTGTCTCTTTCTTCAAGTTAGCTTTCTTAACTTCTTTCCCTTGTTTTCTCTTAAATCTGTTTCATCTTAAGTTTCAAGATACCCAAAATTAGTTCCATTATCTACTCTGTCAAAATTTTCTCATATGTATTTCCTGCTAACATAGCTAATTAATGACGCAGCTATATATTTGGTCACATTTAAAAAAAAAAAAGGAACCTGGTCTTTGCAACAAATGGTGTTGGAAAAACTGGATATCTACATACAAAAGAATGAAGTTGGACCCTTATCTTACACCATATACAAAAATTAACTACAAATGAATCAAAGACCTAAATGTAAGACCTAAAATTGTAAAATTCTCAGATAGATAGATAGATAAATATAATGGAATATTATTCAGACTTAAAAGGAAGGAAGGTCTGGCACATGTTTGCAAGGTTTATGGGTAAACCTTGAGGATATTAAGCTAAGTGAAATAAGCCAGTTATAAAAAAACAAGTATGTATGATTCCACTTATATGAGGTACTTAGATTAGTCAAGTTCATAAAGACAGAAAATAGAATCGTGGTTGCCAGAGGTGATTGGGTGTTTGGGGGAGAAGGGGAGGGAGACAGTATTTAATGGGTACAGAATTTTAGCTGGGGAAGATAAAAAGGTTCTGGAGATGGGTGATGCTGATGGTTGCACAACTATATGAACATACTTAACCCCGCTGTACTGTACACTTAAAAATGGTTAAGATGGTAAATTTTGTTAATTGTATTATTTTAAAGAAAGAAACCTCATCCTAATCCTGTCACACAGCCTCCCTTCTTCATAGCTATACCTCACTAGTTTCACGTCCTACTAAACATTTTCAGTTTATGCCCCGTCCTCATTCCCAATGCTGTTGCCTTAACTGTGAACTGTCTGGGTCTCAATATATAGCCTTATCGAGACTCCAAACTGTTCTTCTGCCCTCCACTCAGAATTACTCCACACTTGCCTCCAAGAAGTGGGTTCTAAAATCCTCTCCCACTTAAAGCCCTATTGAATTCTTGAACTTTGAAGCTTTAGTCATGAAGTTTTTTGTTTAAAATAAGTCTTAATATCCTAACATAAAACTCTGGTTGAAGAAATTAGGCCTGGAGCCTTTCCTCCTCAGCCTTACAATGTCCCTTTCATTGAAATAGAGTATGAAAACTAGTGGGAATCAGTATTTAATCATTCAATAAATTAATCAGTTCCTACTATTTGTTAAGTACTGAGGATCCAATAAGAATAAGTACCTGCCCTATGGAAATTACAGTCTAATGGGAAAGGCAAATATGACGATCTAAATTCCTTAGCTTGGCCTCCATGCAAGGCTCTACATATCTCTGAAGGAGTCATTCAAGGAGTGTTTATTCAGCCTGTGTTTCAGGCATTGGAATAGGCTCCAAGACCTCTCTTCAACTGCCATTATAAAGCCTGGTAACAGAGCTAGGCAAATAAGTACACAAATAGTTTAAATTTTCAGTATATTTATAAAGGAACAAATACTGACTTTCTGTCACTTATGCCTTATGTTCTAGGCTTCCCAAATACATAAAACTATTTGATTAAGGCAAGCTGTTTTATTTTGCATTCCTTTCTCTATGTTCTTTCCTAATATACCAGCATACCTTGTACCTGCTAAAAAGTACCTGTCCTTTTTGCCCTTATCTATCTATAATAAGAGTAATAAAATGGTGGGCCAAATTCAACCCACAGAACTGCTTGATCAGTATGGAAATGTTTAAATATACTATTTGGATTTTACTGCTTTTACACTTGACATTTCTAGTGTGCTTTAGTCTTTGTACTTTCTTGTCTGGTAGCTGTACACACTTACATACATGCCTTATGGAAATGGGGCTTATTAGTCTCTGCATTCCCAGTGGATGCACCATAATAGGGCTCAGATATTTTAAAGAATAAATAAAATCTTGGCATTGTGTCAGCACTGGAGGCTTAAGTCAGG